GCATGTCTTAGTAGAGTTAATAACAGTAAAAGGATCAGTAGATAGAGGACAGCAAACAGTTTGTGTACTCCCTCCCCTTATATATTCCCTGTCGCTGCATGCAGCACGGGCATGCGACTGCTGCTGTTGCTGCTGTTGCTGCTGTTGCTGCTGCTGCTGTTGGAGGAGAGGGAGGCCCCATGCAGCAGCAGAAATCTCCTGAGGACTGCACAAGAGAGGCAAACAGGGGGGCCTCTCAGCAGCAGCAGCAGCAGCAGCAGCACAACCTAGGAGGGAACGACCGCAGGAGGGGCCCCCTTGGCAGGGCCTCTTTGCCCTTATTCCCTCTGTAAGAAGAGCAGCAGCGGATTCTCCCTCAAAGGGGGCCCCCGAGGGCCCCCTTACTCCCATTCCTCTCTTAGCTACACCTTGACGAGGTCTCCTACGGGAGGCCTTAGGGGGTACAGCAGAGGCACTGGCCTTTGCATTTGCACCCTCTATAAAATCTGCTGCTGCTGCTGCTGCTGCTGCTGTTCCTGCAGCTGTATCTGCTGCTGCTGCCACTGCTGCTTCTGCTGCAGTTGTTGTTGTTAGTCCTTTACTCGGGTCTCCTGTTGCTGCTGCTGGTGCATGTGAGTAGTTGGCTTCCGCATCATTGTTTTCGTTACCTGCAGCAGCAGGAGCAGCTGCTGCAGCAGCAGCTGCTGCTGTTCCTTGCCCTTCCCTCCCTCCCCCATCTCGGGTGTACGTACACCTGACTTTTTTTTGTTCGCTTTCCCTTAAGAAATCAACAAAGCCATCTACCTCATCAATATAATCTAAATATTTGCCAACTGCTGGCTGCAGCGCAGCAGTTGCTGCCTCTAATAGAGACCCTCTAGGCGTCATAACAAAGTCCGTAGGAGGGGCCCCAAGGGCCCCAGGGGCCCCAGGGGCACGGGGGGACCCTCTTGCATTCTCAGTATCTAGGGGCCCCACAGCCTCCGATTTGCAAAGGGGAATGCTGCCTCCTGCTGCTGCATGCGTTGTGGGTACCCCTGTAGATACTCCATAGACTGGGGTCCCCCATCTGGGGCTTTGTGACCCCCGTGCTGCTGCTCTAGCAGCAGCAGGGTTTGCTGCATTTGCTGCATTTGCTGCATTTGTTGTATTTACTGCATTTACTGCATTTGCTGCATTTGCTGCATTTGCTGAATATGCTACATTTGCTGCATTTGCTGCATTTGTTGCAGTTGCTGCAGTTGCTGCAGTTGCTGCAGTTGCTGCAGTTGCTGCAGTTGCTGCAGGGTCCTGCAGGAGATCTATGAGGGCCTGCACGTCTGCACTAGTTAGGGTCTGCAGCTTGAGGGCCCGCAGCAGCAGCTGCTGCAGCAATTCGTATTCTTCTTCCTCTGTTAATAGCTGCTCCTCTAGATGCCTCTTCTCTGCTGCTACGAAGCAACGCATGCGTTCTGCTGCCGCTGATTCAAGTCTTGCTGCTGCAGCTAACAGTACACCACGTACTAATCGGTGCAAAGAAGAACCAACGGACCAGTCAACACCGCCACCACCTGCTGCTGTTCCTGCTGCTGCTGCTGCTGTTCCTGCTGCTGCTGCTACTGTTCCTGCTGCTGGTGGTGGTGGTGCTGCTGCTGCTGCAGCTGCTACAGATGCTGTAACTGCTGCTGCGGTTGGGGCTCCCGCTCCTGCTGCTGCTGCTGCTAGGGTAATGGGGAAAGATCTGCATGCGGCACTGTCAGCCTCCTGGCTGCTGCATGCTTTCCTTCCTGCTGCAGCACATGACGTCTTTCCCCTCTGGCGGGTTGGCTCTACGGTAGGGGGGGCCCCACTACCTCCGCATGCAAGACGGGGGGAACTCCCCTCAAGCATCTGCTGCTGCTGCTGCTGCTGCTGATGCTGATGCTGCTGCTGCTGCTTACCCTCGGTTTCACGTGGGGGCCCCTGAGGAACCCGGGGAGACCCCTGGGGGGCCCCTACGCTGTACCCTCCTGATGTAACCAACGCAGCAACGGAACCTGCAAAACGAGACCCTGGGCTACCATGGGGTCCCCTGAAGCTACACTGGGGGCCCCCCGAGCTACATTGGGGGCCCCCTGAGCTACATTGGGGGGCCCCTGAGCTACATTGCTGGGCCCCTGTATTGGGTTTGTTTGTTTGTGTCGTACGAGGAGAGGGAGTAAATGTTTTTTCTCTGTTTGTTTTATCAAGAGTTGTACTTGAAGGAAGATAAACAAGTTCTTTTATTAAGGGTATTCCTTCTGAACACGAGGGCACTAGTTGGGGGCCCCCGGGGGCCCCCATACCCTCACTGAGGTGACTCTGGGTACCCGTGGGTGATGCTGAACGATCAGCATCCGAATAGACACATTGCTTCTGCTTCAACAAGTAGAGCTGTTGCTGCAGTTGCTGCTGCTGCAGTTGCTGCTGCGGTTGCTGCTGTTGCTGTTGCTGCTGCTGCTGCTGAGGGTGTTGCGGGTGAGGCCACAGGAACTGCTGCTCCTCCCGCTGGTCTTGCTGCAGCTGCTGCTGGCTGTGTTGCTGAGTCGGATACAAGGAGCTTCCTGCTGCTGGTGCTGCTGCTGCAGATGACATGCCTTCTTCTTGCACCGTGCTGCTGCAGTTGCTTGGGGGATTCACAAGATGTTGCAGGGGCCCTCGCTGCTCCCCTTCAAGGGGAGCAGTGGTAGCTTGGGGTCCCCTAATAGGTGCCTGTACAGCTGATTGAGGAGGTAAGACTTGTGATTCATAAGAAGGAAGCTTAGTTGATTGTCTTGTTAAGGGGAAGCCGCATGTATCAACCATTGTTATGGGACTTGCCGGTGTATGAGGTGTCTACTTACTACCTGCACACCTGGCGGCTATGGGTATAGCAGAGGCGGCAAAAAGGGAACAAAATACAAACCCCGTGGCTTCCTCTGCTTCTAAAGAGCAGAAGATATAAATAATATATTTATAAATTTAAATAGGAAGAAGAGAAGGCTGTTGATGGGAAACTCGATATACACATGAGAGCGGGCTGGCCTCACCGCTCGTGACCACCACCGACAGATGGTCTACATAAAAGCCATTTTACATGAATAAAACGGCAAAAATATATTAATTAACAATTAGTAATGCAAACAAAAGGAAATTATCATTGGAAGTATAAATACTCCTTAGGACAAAGGGTGCAACGGGTGGTCATGGGTTTGTGTCTCGGGGTTACCCATGCACATATCCTGTTGGCTACTCCTTTTTATAGGGGCAGTCTGAGGATAATCATACCTTATTTTATTTGAATTTGAGGAAAGAAAGTTGAATTTAGTCATTAAAATAAATAAAAAATAACAGAATGATGAAAATGATGGTGGCATCGCGAGCAACACCCCCTTCGCACCGTCGTTGCTGCAACCCGCCTCGATGGTGGTGGCACAGCAGGAGTAGCAATTTGGGCAAAAGTAATGCACTTCTTTATATTCTTTTTTAAGGAAGAAATTAAAATATAAACTTTTAATCATAAAAGAACAAAAAATTCAAAGTTTCATACATAAACTGATGGCTTTCTTGTGGCGGCGCGGGGCCTGCGCACTCGTGCACGCCGTTGCTCGGCTCGGTTGTATAGTAAGGGAAGAAAGAGGTGAATATACCGGCTAAAAACAGAGAAAAAAGAAGTTAATAAATGTAAATGTATATAAAATAGTAAAAAACATTCGCTTTCGTGAATTTTATTGGTTGTTTTTTTTCTGCTGTTTATTGCTCTGTGGACATCTGGTGTGCATCTGGAGACGAAAGGAGGAAAAGACCGATTCAGTACAATCTTCCCCATTTGTTGTTTCTTCTTGTTTGCTTTTTATTTATTTATTTTTATTTATTTAAAATATAATGCCTTATTTAAATAAAGAAGAAGAAGATTGTTATATTCATATACAACGGCAAAGAAGACGGGCTGATGCTGCAGCTGATGCTGCTGCTGCTGCAGCTCTTTGCAGAAGCTGCTGCAAAAAGGACCGAAACTTGCACCAGACAATTAATAAAAAAAAGAAATTAATTCCTATTTACTTATTTATTTATTATTAATTATATGTATATTTTCCCTTTTTATTATTTAATTAGTAGCTTATTGAGCAGTATAAATCGATTGCCTCTACCTCCTCCCGTATACTGTTTTCTTATCCATTATATGTTGACGGTCTGCACCGCTGGCGAGACACAGTTATTTATACAAATAAATAAATAATAATTAATATATATTATTTTAATTATTTAATTATTAATTATAATTAAAGAAAAAAGAATATAATTAGTCGTTTTATATTTCTTTGCATGCGCACTTCCTCCCTCTATTCATATATATAAAGAGGAAAAAGTTTCCTCCTCTATTGCCTATTCCTGCTCCTTCTTTTCCCTTAATTACCCAGAAAAAAGGTTTATAAATGTTCCTTTTTCCCTTAATTACCCATTTTAATGGATAATATATCAATAAAACAATTAAAAAATGTATTTTTATCTATTTTCCTCCTCCCCTTATTATAAGGCATTATTGCTTTCCTTATTAGGCCAGTAACAACAATAAGAAAAGCAAGGGTAAATAAAAGAATAAAAATATTTAATAAATAAAATAAATAAAATAAATGAATAAAATAAATAAAACAAAATAAATAAAATAAAAGAATAAATAAATTCTTCTTGTCTTTTAATTAAATATTAATATAATTAATTCTTAATAGGCAAGAAGTATTCAATTTGTATTATAGGAAAGAAAAAGAGTTGTAGTTCTTCTTTCTTAGTAAAACAAATATTATTATTTATTATTTATTTATTTATTTATTTATTTACTTACTTACTTACTTAGTTATTCTTATTCTTATTCTTATTCTTATTCATATACTGTTTATAATGTTATGCGTACCTTCTGCTGCATGCACAAAAAAAAAGAAATAAAAAAAAAGAATAAAAAAATAAATATAAAAGCTAAAGCCCTTTTGCGGTGTATAGACAGATGTATAATTGTTTATTATATGCTATATATATATATATTATAT